CAGAACACCCATCCTAGCAGCAAGAGCTTCGGCCAGAGACACATCAGTCATGCAAGGCAGCCTGCAGACCTTGACAACCAAGAGTTTACCCTGAGCATCTCTTATGGAAGCACCCAAACCCACACCCCACCCTTCACGCACAGCAGCGTCTGAATTGACTCGTACAGAGCCAGCAGCAGGGGGGCACCACGAACTTCTTGAGACGGCAACACTTCTTCTGGCAGCAACAGACACATCCCCAACATACTTCGCATAGTCACCCACCAACTTAACAAAACCCAACACCCCAATATCACGATTCTGCCAAGGTTCTTCAAACACCACCAAATTTCTAAAAGCCCACGGAGCCCAATCCAAAGAGACAAAGAGCATAAAGTCCTCCGTACTAACCTTACCATGAATCCAAAGCAGAAGCACTTTGAAAGAGGATGAGGGCGCATCAGCAAGCAACGCAACAAAGGGTGACATATCCCAAATGCTTCTGACATTCGAGCACCAAGAAATAGCATGAAGAATACTCTCATCCTCCACATTACAAATTTTGCAAATTCCATCAGTGCGAATGTGACGTTGGTGAAGCCTCCCAAAAGTAGCCAAGGAACCAGTACACGCACGCCATAAGAAATTTCTCAATTTTGGAGGGCCATTTATATTCCACACTTTCTTCCAATCAGCAGCACAGTCACCCCCCAATTGATTTTCCCAGCCCCTAATATGGCTTAAACGACCCACTAAATAACCAGATTTTGTAGTGTAAATACCATCAGTTGCCGCACCCCAAAATCTAACATCATTCGTGTGTCTGACACTCAAAGGCAGCCCCTGCACTAGAAAAGCATCCTCAGGAGAAAGGTGTAAATTTAGAGCAGTAACATCCCACACTCCCCTATTGTTGTCAATCAAATCTGCCACTCTCAAATCCGCAGGGCTTTCCACATTAGGCACAGGAACACGACTCACATTCTCCCCCGGGAGCCACGCATCATCCCAAACATTAATGTTAGTCCCATCACCAACTCTCCACTTCAAACCATCAATAAGAATAGCCTTAGCCCCCCAAATACTACGCCACACATAACTAGGATCATAGCCACGGTTAGCCAAGATAAAGTCACCATTCTTAAAATATCTAGCCTTGAGAACATGGTGAACAAGCGAGTCGGGGTTACAAAGAAGTCTCCAACCTTGCTTCGCCAAAAGAGCTTGGTTAAAAGTTCTTAAATCACGGAAACCCATACCACCAAGCGACTTAGGAAGACAAAGCTTTTCCCAACTAATCCAATGAAGCTTTTTTTCCGTACCATTCGCTCCCCACCAAAAACGAGGCAACATTCTATTGATTTCATCAATAATGCAATCCGAAATACAAAATAAACCCATCATATACGTAGGAATTGCTAATTACCTTGCCCCTGCCTTTATTTGTACAAATTCTACATAAAAGATGACCAATTGACTAATTATCAATAAAAGGGTGGGTTTTTTTTTTTTTTTTTTTTTTTTACGAGTTTAATTAATTATGGAGTAACAAAGTTACTTGAAGACAGGGAAAGGTGCATGACATTGAGCCAATTAAAGTTTGAAAATTATTGTAATTACTAATAAATTAAAGGTTCATCTGCCCCATTAATTCAGGGATTAGAATATAAGACATGCGTGGATACTTAACTCTTCTTTTCATGGATTAAATTATATGGCTTGTAATATATTCCCTCTGTCCCTAATTGTTTGCTCCACTTTCCTTTTTAAGGTTTTCACAAAAGATTGCCCCATACTACTTTTGGCATGTTTTCCCACTCGCACTCTCTATATCTCTCTCCTCGTTCATATTTGTGTCAACCCATGTGCACCATTTTTTGTTCAAAGCCTTAATAAAGTAGATCTATGGCTTGGGGCAAATAATTGGGGATGGAGGGAGTACTACCTTTGTTTTTTTAGTTGACATCATTTGACTGTTACACTATGTACAAACTAAACTTTGACTAGCATTTGTGATTTATAGCTATGACAAAACATAGTCAAGTGGGATCTTGTTTGAATTGTCTCAATGTATATTTTATTAATATCCACTTTATATAATTTTACAATATCGTTAAATAGTGCATTAGCAAATTTGAAAAGGGAAAGGTGTCAACTAAATAAAAACGGAGGTAGTTTTAGCTTTTCATTTGACTCAAATTACTATATAAGGCATATTTTATGTGCATAAATTTTCCACTAATGTACATATTTTTTTGAACAAAATAAGCAAAAACAAAAATGACCAAAATTCAACGTGCTATTTTATTTTTTGCGTAATGTGCATAAGTTATCATTCATTACCCGCAAATTATTGACGTGAATTGAACCCGACTCAAGCCAAGAATACCCCTAACTCGTTATAACTTGTTGAAACCCGAGTATAACTCGACCTACTATTAATCCGACCCAAATTCAACATGACATCTTATTGACCCGATCTAAACCCGACTCAAACTTGATAGGATGCATGACCCAATATGACCCGACCCAATGTAATACCCCATATTTTTCAAACATATTTTCTAATTAATTAATTTATTATTATTTTTTAAAAAGGTTATTTTAGTAATTTATTTTAGTAATTTATTTATTTTTTAAACCAATAAACATATTTTCTAATATATATATATATATATATATATATATATATATATATATATATATATATATCGAATATTCTAATTAAGCAAAAATTCTATTTTATTATTTAATTAGTAGGTCTGAAAATTCCTAATGATTGGCTAATAATTTTCGATTTTCCTAGTGTGAAAAATCTTATTTTCTTAGTTACTTTATTTAGGGAATAATTGGTATTATCTTAATTAATTATTTTATACAATATACGCTATTTACACAATCATTTTTATTCCCTGAAATCTAGCAAAATAACTTCCTAAATTCTACATAAGGGGTCCGAAAATTTGAGCTATGGAAGCTCGAAATTTTCGGCCATCGTGGTTGATATTTGGGTGATTTATTTTGGTAGTTTGTAATTTTAATTATTTTCCTTGATTCTATTATCTCTCCTTAATTCTTATTTCCCATTTCCTAATTAAATATTTGATCATCTTATTTCCCTACTTTAAATCATCCTTGATTATCCCCCAAGCAAAGTCATTTGCCATATTATTTTTCATGACAACATACTTTCCATAAATTAATTATTCCTTAGTCACCTTAATATTAAACTTTTCATAATTTTTTATCTCTCTTCTTCAAGCAATTTCCTTAATTATTTTTATCATAATTCTTCCTACATTCTCCTACCATAAATCTTGTACGAGCCCGCCTATAAAGACCCCTTGATTCATTGCTAAACACTCACACCAAATTCTCTATTTTCTCTCTTAATCACTCTAATTCTCTCTGTTCTTTCTCTTGCTTTCACACAGCCACCACCACCACCGATTGCTACCTGCCGCCGACGATAACCACCGCTGTTGGTAGCCACTAGCTCCCCCCTACCACCACCTTTCTTCCTCTTTTCCTTGGTTTTCTACCTCTTATTCTTCTCTTCTCTTAATTAATTAATTAATTAATTTATTACTATTATGGGGTTTTATAAAAATTATTATGAGTGTTTCAAATTAGTGGACACAAATTTCTTGTTAATGTGAGATACACATCCCAGCCAATACTACTCCGCCCTCTCACTTTACAATCATGTAATTTAGGATAAAACATCCACTTACTTGCGGATTTGTTCTTGGGCTTAACATACCCCTACATAGGCTAATGGAAGCCCAAGTCACATATCTAATTCCAACTTAGGCTATGAATCTGTGATACCATATTAAATGGCCTAAGCCTAGCCTTCCACGGACCATGATTTTTCACTTTATAAGTTCAAAGAGATTCCATCTCAGAATTATATGTTAATGCAGTAACCCCATAGCCTTATACAATGGACGAAATATTTTTGTTTCTTCAATGTGGGTTACAAATGGGATATCATTTCTACATTGTATTTATCATGAAGGTTTGATTTAGACTTTTTTGTGAAAAACTACCATCTATACATCAAATTTTGTTAAAAACTACCTTATAAAAAAAATTGATGTAAAGAACTACCTTATAAAAACTAAATGTTGTAAGTGGCTACTATGTGAGTAATTTAACAATGAAAGATAAGAGGAATTAGAGGTTATAAAGGGGCTATGGAGAAATTGGGTGGAAAAAGGAGAAAAAATGATGGAATATGGGTCATTAAATGTCTCTTATGCAATATAATAATTCGGCAAAAGGTAGCTTTTTACAACATTAATTATTTAATAAGGTAGTTTCTTATAACATCTATTGTTTAAAAGGTATTTTTTTACAACATTTTTTTATTAGGTAGTTTTTCACAAAAACTTATTTATATAAGACAGTTCTTCACAAAAAGTCCTTTAATTTATTTAATTATTTATAAAGCTTTTAAATTAAAATACAAAAGTAAACTTTGTATGAATGAGATGAGATATGGTATATAGCATCAATTTTTGACATAACGGTATATATCATCTTGATAAGGTAAACTTTAATTTATTTCTAACAGACCTTTGGTGGGTGATTCTTAAGAAGGATTAAAATAAAAACTCATGCATCGATCATAAGGTAAGAATTATGATTTTTAATCTCTTACATGAAGATAATTCATGAAGAGACAATTAATAACAATGATAAAGTCCAAAATTGGTTTGTAAAGCAATACACGGAATGCAGATATAGTTCAAGCCCAAGGGCCTTGCTTTTGAAAAAAGTTTAGGCCTAAGGTCTATAATTTTATGTTACATGTCAAAGGAACTATATATCTAATTATAATGATACGAGACTATTCTCAACTAAAATCAACATAATAAAAAAAAAATTAAGTAAAAATAAAAAAACATTAATTATTATAAATCAAACAAACTATTAGAAGAAACTAGTTTTTAAACTTCTGGTCTTAAAACAACTAAACAATTCTCTTATATATTACAATAGAGGGCTATAGTTGCTTAAACTGGCCTTTTAAATACAACTTTTAAAGTATTAACAACATTATTTACCATTTTAGTAGCCTTTGATGGCTTATCACCCACATATATTGTATCCAATGAGCTACAAGCTAGTACCTGAAAGGCTACGGTAATTAAAGAACCACCTAAATGTGTAACACTCGAACTGGCTGATGGTGCAGCTCTTCCACCAATAACATTAGGTGTGATCGCAAAACCAGAGGCAAGAATTGGAATACTTGAGCAGTCCATGCCATTAGTTACTCCTATCATGTTTTGTTCGTTGATTGCTGCATATACTATTAACGATTCATACGGTCCTGTCATGATTTCTTGAAAGATCATTTCACTTCTCTCATTAGGATTCATAGGCTGCTTGACATGTCAAAAAAGATAATTGCAATTAACTTATCGATGGCAAAAAGAATCGCGTAATATGCAAGAAGCAAAAAAAAAAAAAAAAAAAAAAAAAAAAAAAAAAAAAAAATTCAAACTAAAAATTTTTGAGGTGATTTTTAAATAAACAATAATTCATATATTAATTTTATAATTTTTTTGGCTAATATGTATAATAATTATCAATTTAACCTAGTTAAGCATATAATTGTTTATAATTTTAAGTTAGTTTTTAATGTTAAGAAAACTACCATTAGTAACATACATACTAAACTGTGACGTTTTAGGCAGTTGTAAGAATTTTAACACATGCTACACAATCCCTAAATAAAAATAAAAAAATCTTACCTTAGAAATTCCGTTAGGCAGTTGTTCAATCATCCATCCAGATGGATGCTTCCAATAATGAATCGGGGCATTATGATAAGTACCTCCAAACATATTATAGGAAACATTTACGATAACCCATAAACCGGTCTTAATTTCTTGGCAATGTTGAAGTAATGTATATTCCCTTGGCCGATTTATTGGTGGTAAACTATGCATTTTCTTGTAAACCTGCATTAATTCTTCTGATTTAGTTAAAAAACAGTTAATGAAATATTTCTAGGACTTGATGTTACTACAAGAGGACATATTACCAGCTGTAGGGAGCCACTTCGATTATCTAATGAACCAGCTTCTATTACACTAACAGTTGTTGCTTTCGAAATAATGGTAGGAAAGTTATCAACCCATTGATCCTACAAAATTAGAATGAAAACTAGAGTAAATGAAACTTTAAATAAATTGATTTCATAATTAAATACTTTCTCTGTTTCACAAATATTGCAACTAGGATGAAATTACGCATCCCAAAACACATTTTATACGATAAATATCTATATAAATATAAGAATAAAATTTATAAAAAGTTGATATTGCGAAAGGATTGTATGAGACGAATCTAACAAAACCTCACATGACTATATTTTACTTAACATATAAATCAAATCATAATTTGTGGTCAAATAAACATGATGAATAGTGCAAAACTCCAGTTGTTGCAATATTACTAGAACGGAGGAAGTATATAAAAAGGATAAAGGAAAGATTTTTGAACTTACTGAATCTAAGAGGAGATCAACTAGCACTTTGGCATTCATGGTAACTATATCAGAATACTTTGAGTACTCCACTCTTGATTTTGGATCCCTTTGTATTTTAGACCCATAATAAAATTTGTCATAGTTGTTACTATCAAACTCATAATTCCCATTGTTTTGAAATTTTATCCAAAAGGGATTATCATTGATTAAATGATCAATGAGCTCTTCCATGGCACGTGCCGCATTCTTAGCCATAACTATCTTTTCAAACTCTGGATGAGCATTTAGCAAGTTAACAGAGTCAAGATTGTCAACATTGCCATTTTTAGCCAAATAATCAATTGTAGAGATAAGGTTGTCACTTCCACTTGGTATGTTGCATGCCAAACTTAATTCAGGATTACCAATGAAATTTTCTATGAGATTTGTCACCCTTCCAATCTGCATAAAACATTAATGTTTAAAGGGTAATATTCTTAATGTATGATGGATATCTTAATTTAATTGAGTTAACTTCCTATGTAATAAACATCAAGATTTGCCAAAAGTAGAAATTACGATGTCTTGTTGTATCTAAGAATAGGTAGGACAAGAAATAGGATGTTTTCATATATATCTAATCAAAATATTTTCATGTGTAAAAACGTTAAATTTTTATACATATTTTACAATAGTTTTTTATTTGCAATTAAACTACGTTTTATTTGACTTATCAATATTAATTCAGACATAAATGAATACAAGTACGTAGTATATGCGTTTTATTGAAGAAGCATTAAAATCAAATAACAAAAATGAGGACAATTTACTCACTCACAATATTTATATATAAGGTATATAAGAGTTCCTACACTAATATATAAGACTTATGAAAGAGTTGAGACGTTTAGAACCTTCATATGTTTTTTTTTTTTCTCTTTTTTCTTTTTTGTGTGCAACACTTCCAACATTTTCTCAAGTTAACATTGTATGAAAATCATTTTACACTAATATATACTATTGTGACAATCACGTAAATACATTAATTCATGGTTGTATTCATGGAATTGTTATGTGTTGTTAGTTAGACAAATTTAATTAGGAATAACTAAACACAACTAAATACGCAGAACGTACACTTTGCTTTATCTCTTTGTTTTCTAATTGCAAATTCTGATGAATTCTAGACTCTAGTATTGTCATTCCAAGAGGGCAGACCTTGACAAGAACGACATACCATGGTATTTAGTGCTTCCCGGATAGCACTGTTCTCACATTGAATGCGATCGTTCTTCGAACGCAATAAAATATTTTCATAATGCTCATTTTGCAACAGACAAAAAAAAAAAAAAAAAAAAAAAAAAAAAAAAAAAAAAGAGGGGGTCTTAAATTAAACATACGAGTTACGAGTACACATATATAGCAAAAACTTTATCTTAAAAAAAAAGATAAAGGTATGAAAGAAATGTCAACCTGTATTTGAGTTCTCTTGTTCTCGAACCAATATTTTATATTTATAGGCTCCAATCCTAATTCCATCCCCAGTAGGTGCTGTTGATTTTCATCTGGATATGGATATCCCTGGTAAAATCTTATTTGACAAGAAAAAAAGCTAGTCATTATTGTAAATCTAGTTATATAACAATTTTGATAAAATTTGGCAATTTGAAAAAAAAAAAAAAAAGGCATAAATTGTTTTGATTTAACCATACATTTTTTTCACAAAATGGGCTTAATATTTTGTGCTCATTTGACAACATTTTTCAAGTTATTTGATAACAACTATTTGAATTAAGTTGATAGAATTAAGAGAACTAGAATTACTGTACCAAATATGATTAGGCGGTGCAGATATATGTCAGATTAAAATTCATACTCAAATGTGTCTTTTGTCCAACTTCCATATAAGCAAGTCCTATAAAGAGGATAGGTTGGTTCATTTGAAGAGAATCTATTCTATGATCAACCCTGAATCATGTGATGAATGAACGGGCTCCGTAAGATCCAGACGTGTGTGTAATTTTGCATTATATAATCTAGATTATATTATTATTTCTTGATTATAATTTTATTAATAGTTTGAATAGTATAAAAATGCATTAATTTCCTTTGCATTGACTTGATCTATGATACTATCGGAGTGAAACCAGGGATCTAAAGAAACAATAGAGACTAGACTATATTAGTAACAAGTAAACCCTTTGTTTGTACTATAAATATAAAATTTTCTATTTTATAGAAAGTCAAAATCTTCAAAATATGAATTGTTTCAACTATCCCATAAATTAGTCTCATCCTAAAAAATTGAAAAAAAAAATAAAAAAATTTAAAGATATATATCCAATAGACTTTTTAAAGGGTCCTTATATAACTTTTTCAGGGATTAGCATTCCAACATAGCAATCTACCTACTTGGGGAGGATCTAATTCCCCATACTTTTACTATCAACACAATCACCAGGACCGTCCCGTTAAATTTCGGGGCCCTGTTCTAAACTATAAAATGATCCCTAACGGAAAAAAAATTATAATACTTAAATCTAATTTCAAAAATAATATCATAATAGTCATATATATATCTTAGTTATAAGTCCAACTATCCCAAATCCCAACAAGTTAGGTGATCGACAACTCCTCAACCAAAACAGAAATATCGAATCTCATCAAACAATATATAAATCGTATTTTTTTTTTTCTCCCAAAGATAATTTTGAGCAAAAGTTGTAGAAATTGCTTAGAAATTTATAAATGGTAAAAAAGGATTAGTCGTTTGATAATAAACGAAAATCAAGAGAAGTAATGGTAAAGACTGAAAAATTAATTCTTCCATTGAAAATTGGAAGAGGAAGGTGAGATAATTACTAATTATTTTTTAGGTAAAATAAGAAGTTAATGAGAATTTAGCATTAAATGAGATATGGAATAGAAAAAGTGATGGAAATTTCATATTTAAGTAATGAAATTAAATTGGATATTGGAATTTGGAAAGTTTGATATTGAAAATGGAAGGTAGTAGATTGATCGTGGTCTTGCGGAGAAAACGATGATGTACTGTACGTTGAATGAATGATTGACTTTTGAATTGTTTTATTATTTTTGTGTTTTTTTAGTTTGGTTGGGCTTTAATTGAAAAGGCCCTATAAAATTAGGGGCCCTGTGCCCTGCCAATCACTTTTATTTATTTTGTATTTTTTTATGCATAGCCTTTATCAATCAAATTAAAGCAGTTTTACTTGAAGACTTTCTTCTACCTTTTTCGACAAACACATATATAACAAAAGTTTTTAACACCTTTAAATTAGTTTTGAAAAGTTTTATGTTATGAGCAAATAACAAATTACGGTCAAAATTTTCATCTAAGTTGTCAACATTTTTTTTTTTATTGGTTGTATCAACGATTCATATCTATGTGTTCATATGGATTCCTTTAAGTAAAATGATATTTGTTGTGGAAAAACATATTAATCAAAATTTAATAAGATTGCTAAATACAATCTTCATTTACTCAACACCCCCCCCCCCTCCCAAAAAAAAAAAAAAATCCAAAATTTACCATCACTCTCATATTCCCTCTCAAATTCCAAAACATTCTTTTGGCCTTCTCTCTTCCACTTAAACCCCGAAATTTTCAAATTTAACAATTGGCCTACTATCGTTTTGAATGCACATATCTCACTTATTGTATACTGTATTAAAAATATGAATATCATTGCATTGAAGTAGCTTCCATTACATTTTTATTGGTATTTATTAACGATATTAGATAGGAAAAATTCTTATAGAGAAGAAATGATAAATTTGAAATCTATAACAATAATGTTCAAAGATAAAAGAAAATTCTAGTATAACAATTATAAATCAAAACAAACATATTTGAATATGGGGGTGGGGCGGGGGGGGGGGGGGTGGTGGTGGTGGTGTGGGAGCTGAGTGAAAACTAAAATCCACTCTCCAAGTTGTATATTAATAAATGTCAAATGAGATACCAAGTGGAATAAATTTGTAGAATAATAACAAAAATCACATTGGCAGTTACGTAAAAGGTTAAAAATTGAAAGCTCTTAGAGGGAGTAAAGATCCTTACTCTTCCAGCCTTTGAAGTTGCTTAGATGTGAGGTTGTGTTTGATTTTCTTCTCTTGATGATCGTTGTTACCCTTACTCCCTATCTGGTATGCCATTATTCTTCAACCATCACCAACGTAAATACCACTATTTTGTTACAAAAATTTTCTCTTATTTATAACTAAATAATTGTTGTAAAGTTTCACAAAAAGAAATCCCAGATGACTTAACCCAATTTTGATTTTGCATCCATCAGATACGAATCCGATTAGATATTTTTTATGTCCCATAAACTTTCAATTCTATGAAAATTTCGTTAATTAATAAATCAGAAGAAAAATCTTTACAGATCGCTACCATCACCCATCATAAAGGAAACAAATCATTTTTAAACAATGTCGCAACTTCCATAAAACATTTATTATTACACTCCCTTTGTCACACAATATCTTACACGTTTTGACTTTTCGCATTATTTGCGTAGTTACTTTGATCATATTTGTTACTACTTTATAAATAATAAATTATTGCTACAATGTCGGATTAATATTGATGTTTATTTTTTACATTTTTTAGTTGTTTTTTAAAAATTAATTATTTATTTTAATTCCTTTCTAATGAGTAATCAATGATAATAATAATTAAAGTTGTGTGGAAATTTTGAGCAAATGAGATTAGTCGGGTATTATTTGGATGGATGGGATATTTTTCACGGTTAATATTGCAAAATGTATCTCTCTATGGGCGCATTTGATGGTCAATACTAATTTACAAATATTTTTAAAAGGAAAATCCTAGCCAGTATGCATGATTGTAGACACTTAAAAAGCGAAACACCCCCCCCCCCCCAAAAAAAAATGTTTCTATGTCCAATGCATGTTTCTGATTCCCTTAAAACCTTTCTCCTAGCCTTAAAAGAATAAAATACATCTTAAAGCCCTAAATCAAGTCATAAAAACCAATTAAAGTCAAACTTGAAAACCCCAATTCAATGTTATTCCTCAAACCCTATAAGGCCTAAATCCAACATTCAAACTGCCCAATAATTCTTTTAGAGTTTCAGGGCCCAACTCTTGAACCTTTGGAACACCCTAAACCTTTAAGAGTTAAGGAAAACCTTTAGCATTAAGCAAAGCAAATAAAGTTTCCAATTAGAAGTTCAATTTACTTGCACCAGATGCACTCTTCATATGTCAAGTAACTCATGTCTACTACACTCAAACCTACCTTTTTACATATTGTGGTTTTTTTTTTTACTGCCTAAGTTTCCATAGTACGACTCTTGCTAAATCCATGTGTTCCATGCACAACAAACACTATAACCCCTTATTTTCCATAAGTACCCCCCCCGGTTATTTCTCAATTAAAAGGGGTCAAAACATAACAAAAATACAACAAAACTCTTCCAAAATATTGACGCTACTTTCTTGGAAAAATTATGCATTATAAACATTTACTAATCACACTAATAAATCTAACAAATCAAATCAAACACATAATATTTAAAGTATTAGTTAACTTCTTATTGGAGCTGGACTTTAGAGTCTTAGCTTCAATGCATGTGCATAATCCGTTAACCTAATAGTTCTAATCTTATCATTTTTTAAGTCCTTTATTTCAAGTTTTTCTTAACTTGTTTTCCAAAATTTTGCTCCCATTATGTTCAAAATTTTGCTCCCATTTCTTAACCTAATAGTTCTAATCTTATCATTTTTTTAAGTCCTTTATTTGCTTCCAAGCTTGATCCTTTATGCTTCTTCAACCTGGAAAAATGGAAACTAGAATATAATTTATCTTTCTTGTTCTTCACCCTTGGCTTGTGTAGAGTTCCTTGTTTTCTAGTAGTGGCAGATGAAGGAGGAGTATGAAGAAAAAGATTATGTTTAAAGTCATGGGATTATCTTCATTAGAACACATGGATTCTACTTCAGCTATGTGATGTGTCTATTTTATATAATATTTTACCCCCGTCCCTTGGTCATAATTAGTAGTGTTTTTTGGCTCTTTAGAGCCACTTTTATTACTAATTGGTGTTTTCTTGTGTTTTCGTAAATTTGGTTGACTTTTGCAGAGATTTACACTTTTAGAGTATTTTCCCGAGATATTTTGGAGCAATCACGAGCACTGGAGAAGCACGACCAGATTTTATAGCCCAGGGCCGGTTAGAACCATCGAACCGGTGATTAAGGGCTCGGTGTAGGTGATACCGGGGCATTTGGACCGAGTATTAAAGACCGGAAGAGGAAACCCAGATTGGCCCGAAGAATTGGATCCCAATCGTAGTTCAAATAGTGGCCCAATAGGCGCGCCCGGCGGGCGGGAGAAGCTAAGGTCGGCGCCTGGTGACGCGTCCGGCCGGGCGCGAGATTTATACTGACGAGCAAAAAGGCGCACTCGATTGGGCGGTGCCTCGCCCGATCGGGCGCGTGTAAATATTAGGAGTTAATTTTGTCGTTTAAGTTTGTTTTAGTTTAGGATTTGTACGGAGTATAAATACTCCTCCGTAATACGATTTTTGGCTCTCTCTCTCTCTCTTTTACTCTTTCTTTACCCTCTT